ATTGATCGATGTTGAAGGTGAGGGACTTTTTTGGGAGGCTGTTTGGGAACTGCATAGAGTCGCTTTACATGCAGGAGGTGGAGGCCGAGGAGCAGGCGCTTTACGCGCGCATCGTGTTCGTGCACCCTTCGTACATTCACTTTATTCTCAACGGGGAGGCAAAGGCTAAGTTCTCGATAAACGGGAAGCACGTTTGGATGAGGCAGTTTGTGCCGAGGAACTGGAATGTGGGGCCCTCGGCATGCCCTAACCACCAATTTTTTCAGTACTGACTGTGGGTGGCTCTGACTAGGATTGTGTTGTCTGGATGTGATGTTGTCTGAAGTTTGTTTTTTTGTTTTCGATTTTTCGGTTGTTGAGAGTCTGTGGTGTTGTCTTCGGTTTCGAGTTGTTTAAGGTCCTCTGTTTGTTTCTGGTGTTTGTGATGTCGAATAAATGGCTGTGTGGTCAGGTCTGGTGCAGCTTATAAAGCTGTTTTGTGGTGTTTTGTATAATTTCTTGTTGTTTGTGTTAATGAAAGGTCTTATCTGTCTTATCTCTGCTGTTATTGTCTATGTTGTTTTTGTTCATTTCCTATGTTTCGTACCTGCACTAAATTTTGGGAGTTTCAGCTTTTAGGCATATGGATATTCATGTATTTTTTATCACATTTTTTGTAAGGGTGAAAATAGATAGGTAATTAAAATTAAAAATATGAAAGATGCTTTCAAGTGTAGGTGTGTAATAAATTCTTAAAATTATTAATTGAAATGGTAGAAAAATAATTTTTTTGCCACATGGAATGAAATTTGTATGTGTGAAATTGAATTCTGCTTTTGGACCTTGTGAACCTAATTGCCAAAACCTAATTGCAACTTTTGAAACTTGATTAATGTGATTCATCTTTGTGGTATGCTTAATTTAAAGTTCTTTTTGGCATCATGTTAATATTTACATATGTGATGAATTCTGAAAAAAAAAATATATGCAAAGAAAAAAAATCTAAAATAGTTGATTTTGATTATTGAAGCAATTCTTTTTCCCTTGTTAGTAGTAATAATAAAACTGAAGTATTGACTCTTTGACACATTAGATTGTTGAGTATTAATTACAAAGGGCGGATATACTAAGTATTAAATGGTGCAAATAGTGCAGTTAAATTGATTCATAATTATACACACAAAATAACATGACTTTGGAATTAGTATTTTGATGAATGGTTCATCATGAGCTGTGCCAAGTATCCTTTGGCTAATGGCACAATTAATGTTGATGGAGCCTGTCTTCACCTTTCATGGCTACATATAC